CTCCACCCCCCCACCCCAAAGGTGCTGCTGTCAAACTGAACACTGTCACATTTCCAGACACAGCCCCCTCCCCCTTAAATAAATGCTGTAAAACCCACAAAGGAGCGGTCTGCACTCCGACCAGGTATCGGGAAATCACAGTAAATAATCGCCAGCACACCCCCTCCCCCTCCTCCCCTTCAATAGGGAGAGAGACAGACTGTGACTGCTTTACGTTATCCTCTTCCACCCTCTCTCTCTCTCTTTCTCTCTCTCTCTCACACACACACACACACACACACACACACACACAAAGGACCAAGTTCCACCCCTCCCAGGGAAACGAGTTTACACCCCACTCCCTCCACCACACCCACAAAAGAGACTAAATTACAATCCCCCCACCCCACCACCAGCCATCACAAAGGGGATCAAGTTAAAGTTCATTTTCCTTTTAAAAAGGACGCTGGAGACGGTGTGGATGTGAGGAGTTCTGTTTCCCATCTCAGTGATGTGTCTCAGCAAAAAAAAAGCCATTTTCACAACGGCGTGTGGTTCATTTGCTCGCTTTTTGAAGGGATATTTAAATCGAGTGTGCCCCACGAATTCTCTGGGGGAGGGGGGATGGGGGGCTGTGCTGTCAGCTCAATACTGCTTTGTGTTTTTCTCTACCCTCTCACCGTCAAAAGCAGTTAATGATTTTACATTGTAGCCTCCCCGTTCAGGGTGAGGAATATCTTAGATACAACCAAGGTGGTTGGAGTATAGAACTCGCTACCACAGGAAGTATTTGAAACGAATGGCAGAGATGCATTTAAGGTAAAGCCAAATAACTACATCAGGGAGGGGAAAAATATCCAGGAGGCTATGTTGTTGAGGTTATGGGGGAAAAGTACCTGAACAGCATGCACCAGCATAGACCGTTGATGTGATTGATCTGTTTGTCAGATCATTAACTGGCTTATATTACAAAGATTTTAACCAAGCAATTTCCTTTTATATTCCTGCTTCCAATCGGAATTCCATTACCCATTCACGAGAGAACACTGATCTGCTAATAACCATTGCGTTTCAATTGTTCTTCAAGCCTTGGAAGCAGAATCTGCCCTCTGTGACAAGAAAAGAATGACTGGGTAACAGTTTTGAAAGCTGTGCTCGGAGTGGATAATTTTGGCCACATTTATTGCTTATAGCAAGTTGCCTTGATGAGGTAATGGTGGATCCTTCTCTTGAACTGCTGCCCCAACAATGGTGTTCCTTTATTGATCTACTCAAGGGACACCAACAGTTCATTCCATCTATGCTTCTCGATGCCTCCGAAAGGCAGCCAACGTTATCAAAGAGCCCTCCCGCCCCGATTATAATCTCTTCCAACTTCTTCTGTCAAGCAAGAGATACAAAAGCCTTAAACATACATACCAACAGGTTCAAGAACAGTTTCTTCCCTGCTGTTAGTAGACTTCTGAATGGACCTCTCAAATTTCAAGTCTAATGTTGATCCTGCTTTTTGTTCACCTTCTTTAGAGCTGTAACATTGTATTCCTTGCTCTGTTCAGTCACCCTATGATCTTTGTGTGGTATGATCTGCCTGTACCGCACGCAAAACAAAACTTTTCACTGTACCTGGTACATGTAACAATAATAAATAAAATCAAATTAAATAGTTGTCCAAGTTCCACTCAGCTTAAGCACAATGGGTCCTCACCAACACCATTGACCATAAATATTAGCCAGGTCACCAGGAACAAAATCCTGGTCTTCAAATGATGTCATTTGATTCTTCATACCACTTGAGGGAGCAGGCAAGTCCTTGGTTTTAAAGAACAAAATAAGCTTATGCGTCAGTTCATTTGGCTGGACAGTTGGATTGCAATGCTGAGTGATGCCAACAGCATAGGTTCAGTTCTCGCACTGGCTGAGATTACCCATGTAGGATTCACCTTCTCAGCCTTTACCCTTGCCTGAGGCGTGGTGACCCTCAAGTCAAACCAGCACCAGTGCTATCTGTTTAATGAGGGTCCAGCCCTATGGTCCTGTAGAACTATGGCGACTTTACCGTTACCATACAAAAGAATACACTTCCGACAATGCAACACTCACTCAGTATCATTCTTAACTATAAATCTAGATTATATGCTCAAGTTCCTTGTGGGACTTAAATTAACAACCTGCTAACTTGAGAGATAGTAAGAACTGCAGATACTGGAGTCAGAGATAACACAGTGCAGAGCTGGAGGAACACAGCAGGCCAGGCAGTATTAGAGGAGCAGGAAAGCTGACGTTTTGGGTTAGGACCCTTTTGAATGTCCTAACATATTACATATATAAGAGGGCATCTGCTAACTTGAGAAACTGGTTTAAGGATCAGAGGTACCTGTGTCTCAAAACGTATTCAGAATTTTATTTAAATTGCTAGATTAATTTGGCTTGTAACTGCTCAAAATTTAAAGTATTAAATGAGTGGATAAATGTTAGGTAATTTAAAAGCAATTGTTTTTAGAAATTGCAACATTTAAAAGGCATCTGGATGGGTAAACGAAAAGGAAAGGTTTAGAGGGATATGGGTCAATTGCTGGCAAATGGGACTAGATTTATATGGGATATCTGGTCGGCATGGACAAGTCGTTTAGAGAATACAGTACTTAGTCAAAGTAAAGCAAAAATGTCCATGTAGCACATTAACAATAAACACATCAATATTATTCAACGTGTTTAAATTATCAAAATTTTTGAAAAAAACTTTGACATAGGGTGGAATCTTCTGCATCTGGAGGTGACAAACTTGGAGGTGGGAAGAGCACTTAATTAGGTAGGGAGGTGGCACACACAAGCACACTCACTTTCTCACTATATTCAGCCAAACCAGGGAAGGACATTCACGCCACTTAACTAAACTGTTCGATCAGTTACAAAGAGCCAATTGATGTATAAAGCTAGCTAAATGTGAATTTGCCAAAGCAAAAGTGACTTATTTGGGCCACGCTGTGGAACAAGGTCAGGTAGCACCTGGAGAAGACAGACTAAAGGCTGTTTTGGATTTTCCCATGTGTAGGATAAAACACAAAATTCTGTGATATATTGGCATGAATTAATTTTATTGGATGTTTATTTCAACCCTGAAATGGCTTATTTTCACAGATGTGTGGTTTTGACCTTGGATCCCTGTGGCATTAATGGAAAGTTGGTTATATTGTTGGGCTCATGACTGGTAGAGTAAAATAAGTAACGCGGAAAATTAGAACGGACAGAAGTGTGCCAGAATGACTTTGACAACTTGAAATCTGTCGCTGTACCAATTTTAATGCCACTAAATTCTGAGAAAGCATTCAGCTGGCTGTTGATGCCAGCAGCATCAGTCTGAGTGCTGTTTTACTACAAGAGGGCAAAATTGGGATCAAATGTATTGTCTGTTATTTTTCAAAGAAACAGAATTCCTGTCAACAGAAATATTCAATGATGAAGAAAGAGACACTGTGTCTTATGTTGTCTCTACATGTGTTTGAAATTTACACATCTAAGAACTCTGAGGAAACTGTTATTTGCACAGATGACAATGCTTTGATTAGTCTGGATAAATTTTGGACAAGAGACAGTAAGGACTGCAGATGCTGGAAGCTAGAGTCAATAATTGTGGAGCTGGAAAAGCACAGCAGGTCAGATACCATCCGAGGAGCAGGGAAGTCAACGTTTCGAGCCAAAACCTTTTGTCAGGTTTGGGGAGGGGGAGGGGAGCCCATAAATAAATAGTGGGGGAAGGGGATAGATGAGATGGAGATAGGTGGATGCAGATAGGGGGATATTGTGGTTGGTCATCGGGAAGGGTGGAACAGATAGGTGAATAGGAAGATGGACAGGTTGGGGGAGGAGAGTTTTTGAAGCTGGTGAAGTCAGTATTCAGGCCGTTGGGCTGTACAGCTCCGAAGGTGAAATATGAAGTGATGTTCCTCCAGTTTATGATTAGCCTCACTCTGACAGTGGAGAAGGCCAAGAATGGATATATCACTGGGGAGTGGGATACGGAGTTAAA